ATCGTCGGAGTTCTATCGCAAAGGCATTAATAACCTTCCCATTAGATGGCAGCAATGTATAGATAATAATGGCAACTATTTTGATTAAATAAATTTGTTAAAAATTTAAAAAATAAACAATTTAGATTTTCAGTACAAATCGGCATACTTTAACCCCTATTACAATAATTATAAGGACCCCGATTCAGAAGTCTTCGATATTTTAATCGAATTGTTCGATCGGATATCGTTCGCGAAACGAAAGGCGCTGTGTGTGTGTGATAAATATTACACCAAAACTTGTGTGTGACACCGTCGAATTGCACCATGTCTGAAAACGTATTGTGATACTGACAAATGACAATACTCGTAGAGTCGGAGCCCTCACTTATGTATCCACTATTTGTATAGCAGTTAGTACAAATAATGGATACTTAAGTGAAAGCGCCGACTGTACAAATTGTATGATATTGTCAAAGGTAATCCCGAGACTGCGCGAACATGAACGAGACTGCGCCGGAAAACGCGCGACGTGCGTTTTGGCTTGTATGTTCTAGTTTATAAGTACACAATTGACTTTAAAGTTCATTATGCTTTGTACATCGTTCTAAAAATTCGCTTCCATTCTATCCCGCCAAATTGTGAATTGGGCCGAAGAATGGATTATTCCGCCTGGTAATATTCGTTATAATAATCTTCGTTTAGTTTCTCTAGGTACTTTAACAAAACAAAAAACGTAACTAGGTAAAGTAGCTTATTCGCCAGAACCCATCGCGTGAACCAAATCCATATAACTTTGAACACGCCTATTAGTTTCATGACAAAAGTTTTAAAACCTTACAGACACCATGACCCACATATATTTTTTACCACCTCTCCTTTAGTTTTTTCAACCTCTAAGATACCACCTGAACTTCACTGTACTTCACAAAAGGCTGTGATTTTTTTTGTTACGAAAATGCTAGTCTATTCTATTATATTCTATTTCGAGCATGAGAGACTTTTTAGAAAAACGAATACATAAACAAAACTAAGATTGCTGTTTGTACTTCTGTTTGGGTGAAACAAAAACAGCGATATATCAGTAACTCTTTCAAAAACAATAAGAGCTAAAGGAACGACGATTCGTTTGCACATGACCAACGATATCTATGTACTGTGATGTCTTTGCACATGATTATGATACTGTTATTTTATTTTCAGTGTTATGGAAATAATGCTAAAGGGTCGCAAGCTGGAGGCAAGTATCGAATATGATGAGGAAACTACTTCGGTATCAACGTGACATATAAATAAAACCTTCTTTTCCTTTATTAACCCTGTAATTATACATGTGGTTATTGATACATAGTAAATGACTTAATGACTACCTGAGATTAATAGAGAATGTTGATACGCACGAAATGACATTTCTTCCTACAACCTTTTTACGGCACTTAAAAGTTTTTGATGTGAATTTCGAATCTCTCGTATACTCTTTACCAAGTATGTAAGAACCCCAAACTAAATATGGGCTGAGACTTACCTACATCGAATTATTAAAAGTTTCGAATACATATTGATATAGGAAGAATATAAGTTATATAAAAAATATGGAAATATTTGAATTATTTAGGATCGAAATTATTGTAGAGTTAAAAAAAATATGAAAAAATATAATGTTGCGATCTTAGTATTTTAAATAAAATATTTTTATTGTTAATGTTAATAGACTTTAAATCAATTTCCTTTCCCAAAAACGGTCAAGTAATATAATAATAGTAAAAAATTTTAAAAATTAGCACTTTCATAAGAAAAGGTGATAGATATAGTATGGTCCTGTTTGAACACTTATAGTTTGATATTTCATTGACCATACAGAATCATACATAATACAAAATACAAATAGTAATTTTATAATAAAGATAATCACTACGAACATTTATGATTATTGCATCACAATATTGATGCTTATCCCCACACAAGCGCCGAAACGAACGTTCTATGGGATTGTATCCCAGAACAATGAAATTTTTAAAAGCACCTACTACATAGTCTTACATTAAACATTGGCATTTATCTTACATACTACAAAACGCACAATGTGCGTGTAAATCACATCGATATTATCGGTTTATTGAAAGCTCGGAAATGTATTTCTACGAAAAGGCCGCGTAAAGAGCTGACATCGACTTTTTTTACAAATGATCTTATTTTCCATCTTCAAATCTTTTTAAGTCGTATTATTTATCCCACTAACCTATACCATACACAGAAAAAGACCTCAAAATCAAACCTTATTTGAATCCGTCATAAAAACTAACTTTCCTCTCTCGTCAAAAGGATAGATATAACGCCTGCTCAGTCGCGACCTCGAACTTACATGCTACTTGACTTTGAAACTTACACACTACCAGAAGGTTGTCAACTGATTCGTCATCTTAAACACAGATATGCTCACCAGGACACTGACTAATGGACGTGTGCTCTGGCAGAGGTACAAAGATACTATAAATATTGGCCAGAATATTTGACAACCTTGAGTAGGTACCTAAATATTTAAGATATTTGGTAACATTGCGAGATTACACATGACGTTAAAATAACACACATAAACTCAATAGTAATTCGCTTAAGCTTTAAAGTAAATGCTGCGGCTTGATTTTCTTACAACTCGCAAGGCTTTCCCTAGTAGTTGTAAAGATGGTCCCAAACCGATATTACTTTTCCTCTAATAAAAATACAGGAATTTATGAACACCTGGAATGATTTGATTTTCATTAATAAGTTACCCAACAAAATATAACAACAACCTTTCATTAATTTGAATATAATTGACAGTTCTTTTTTGCAGCACTTAGCTGTAATTTGCAAATGACCAAGGTTGGGACGTAAACAAATAATGTAAAAAACAATAGTAATGTCGTAAAAAAGTTTACAAAAGGCTTTCAAACGATCAAAAAGCGAAGCTGGTTATAAAATAATACGACCAAGACATGATATTTAGCTGTAAAGTTATAGGAATCCCCCTTGCGCTACTTTAGTTTTACGGGGTGTCGTTATCGGTGCCGTCGTCATCATCACCGTCGTCGTCAGGTGGTGTCATAGTAGCTTCGAACATTTCATTCGGATTAGTACGATATAGGCGACGTGCTTCAGCGTAAGCTTCCTTGACACGAGTGTTGAATTCCTGTTCTTGGATGTAGCTTTTGCGGTACTTCAATATGAACAAGGTAATGCTGACATAGAACAGCAGGTGCTTGGCATATCCCGTGATCAGTCATGGTTCTCTCAGCCAGCTATCCAGGAACTGCTGGATTTCGACGCGGGCCTCGGTGAGTTCGGTAGAGTCGTTATCGGATGGCGAATACATGTTAGCGCAGTGAGCGGTTCCTACAATTTACATATAAATTTTTAGTAACATTAAACTTTTTTTTATAAAGTTGCGTTTGCAAAAACTTACCATTGATGTAAATAGCAGGGGCACCATTGTCCTGTGTCTTAAGAATTCCCAAAGCATGCCACGGGTCGACACTGCCTTGCACGTAAACTACGCGGGTGACTTCGATATCCAAAGCTCCGTATTTAGTGTTTGTCCATGCTACAGCGTTGCGTATGAAGTCCAAATTATATCTTGAATATAAAAATAAATGCTATGAAAATACACATCAATATACAAGTGTTGACGAAAATTGGCAATGTTAAAATTGTTTGAATTTCCAAGAGCTTTTTATATTGACGGGAATTACACTCGACACTTACTTTTGCCCGAAGATATCCATGCATTGTTGTACAAAGAAGTCTAAATCAAAATGGTTGCCGAAAATGTCAGCAGCGCCCGATGAGGTTTGGTAAAATCCGAATTCGGTGCATGTTTGGTACATCCACTGACGAGCTAAAATTTTAATAATACTTGCAGGTGCCTTCTAGATTTTTATAAGTGATTTCATTACATTGCGAAATGAGTACGTCGTCAACAATTAGCGAAACTGGTTAAACGTAAGTAACGAAATATTTATTTTTTATCGTAAATAGCGTTAAATATGTTATCGTGAATACCTCCGCCAGTGTTTTCTTTCCATTCAACAGCCCTTAACTCGTTAATCATTTTCCCGTAATTGTAGTCCATACATGTCTCATGGGACTTTTCTAGCGTGATGGCGTTAAACTCAGCCAGTTTTTTGTATGCTGCCTTGTTTCCTTCCGAGTCCGTCAATATTTTACATACCTGGAGAAATGTTTATATATATTTGTAATAGGCATTTTTAGACAAAAGGTACCATCGAAGTTTACATGAGATTGATTGCGAGCAAATCAGTGTCATATTTCAAAAACACCGTTATCGCCCCACTAGCGTATATTCACCGAAAAGATTCTAAGTAGGCACGACCCACCGTCCACACATAGTAGACTACCTCCTCCAGTGAGCATATAAATACGAACTAAAATATCATTGACCTCCTTATAATTATATATATCTGTTATTTATGTTTTAATTACATTAATTTGGCACTCGTGGCTTAATACCATGTAGACCCGTATGATATCACAATCATGTAATTCCCCTGAATATAATACAAATGCATTGTAATATAACGAGGGTTTCTGATGTTAGTGTTCACCTCTTAACAGCAAATGTCCGATAGACGTACACTCCTTTTTTGGAAATAGAATAAGATCCATTTATAAAAATTATACGTACGGTGTTAATAGTGACGTTCTTGTATTTTTCATCGACGCTGAAACGATTGTCTTCATTGTACTGCACCAGGTCAGCGAAGTCATCCGCGATTGAGTTGAAAAAATTTTTCAAATCATTTGCGGACACTCCTTGGAACGGGGAACATACTCTGTAGAACATAATACGTATTTATAGTTATGAGTCATCTGTACCGCGTCGCGCAAGCTTGGCATCCTGAACAAGGTGCACCGATTTTTTACTCCAGAACTGCGATACCTGTTGTATAAAGCTCAGGTACGAAGCAGCATGGAGTACTGTTCACACCTTTGGGACGGCTCTACCAAGTACTTGCTCGATGCCCTAGATGGACTGCAGCGCTACGCCTTCCGTGTTGTCAACGATCCTCATGTAACTGAGCATGCGGAGACGTTACAGCTTCGCAGAGATATAGCGTCTCTTAGCGTATTCTATCGCCTGTACCACGGTGAGTGCTCTGAGGAGTTATTCAACCTTATCCCTTCCTCTCCTTTCCATTAGCGGACCACCCGTGCCGGACTGCGTTGCCACAGTCGGACGGTCAGTTCAATACCGTCCCGCGCTAAAAAGTTTGGCAATTCGTTTTTATGCCGAACCATCAAATTGTGGAACCAACTCCCAGCGCATGTATTCCCTCCCCTCTATAACATCGGGTCATCTTCTTCAAACGTAGTGTGAAGAAGCATTTGGCCAGACCGGGAAAATGATAGTGACGGAGTGAAGATATTTGTGTTTTCCATCCGTTACTCTCATCTCTGGACTGTACTCGCACTTTCCATCAGGCGCGGTGCAGTCATTTTGCCGTCACAATAAAAAAAAGAAAGAAAAAATGAGTTCTGTATGTCAATTTGGACATGCCCGTGCCGGCTCCATCCAATATCGACATCACCTTTGATCTATTCCATCGCCAAATGACTTGCTTCCCAAAACTTATGCAGCATAAGCGCTATTTAAGAAATGACACGGATGAAGTTGTCATCAGGAGAGCCGAAATTTTGAAAGCTCGTTTCCTAACTTTTTATGAAGTCGTAGACCAACAACGCTAGCAATTTCAAATGGTTTACTAACTTAAACTCCTTCTCGATGACTTCGGGGTTGGCTTTTAGCATCATATCAACTTGTTGCATTCCTTCCTTTAAGTGGTTGACGCAATCGTCGCCGCCAGTCTTCTCACGCAAAGCTTTTACTACGACTTGGAAGTATTCTAAAAAAAAATATTGTTTTAGACACATACATTATTTAATAAGTCATTTGAATTGAATAAAAATATATGCAGATACCCATGAAATCAACTTTAGCAAGCAGGGGTGCACTTGACGAGACAGCTCCATAGACAAGGTGAGGGTACTTCATTCGTAACCAAGCAGCTAAAGACCCAGGGTAGGACCCCCCGAACACCATCCATTTCACATTTTTTCTTAATTTTAATTTTTGGTTCATCGCATTTATGAAGTTCGCTAAATCTGCCAAAGCTTGCTGCGACGACAAAAATTGCAAGTTCTTTACGCTTAAGTCTCTGAAAACACAAGTGATTAATTTAAATCCTGTTCAATGCTGCGTTTTTAGTAATAAATAAAACATATTGCTACTCATGGGCAACAAATTAAAGTCACTTGCAAAGATATTCGGGTTTTTTATGCCAATACAAATGCATTCCGTGTTAGCGAGCAAACGAATTGTAGGTAATTAAGCATACGATTATCCGACCACTAATAATAGCACATTTACAACGCACCACCCAACAAGATGTAACATATACTAAAATAAAGAAACAAAACAAATTAAGAAAATTATTACTAAATATGCGTCGAACTTCAACGATAATGAACCAACTCTCTTTTCAACACTCTTTAGTTTGTTGTATGAAAACAGGTTGACATTTATTTCTTGACTTTTATAGGTTTAATCATACTATCAATATAACTAATATAATAAAATAATAATAACTGCCTCCGTGGCCGAACGGTTACCATGCCGGACTGCCACGCAGAGGTCCCAGGTTCGATTCCCGGGCCGGGAGAAATATTTGTATGGCCTACATTTATTTCTCTCGTGAGTTTGGGTGTAATTTGTGGTTGTCTATGTGTGTGTCCATGGCACCCGCGACACAGGGTTTCCCTAGTGCGGGGCTATGTTGATTGTGAGGGTTATTATTATTATTATTATTATTATTATTATTATAATACAAACATTATTAGTTAAAATGAAGACCACCCTCAAATCCCGGATGAAGCCGTACGGCAAAAAAGTTGATCAAATTATTTAATATGGAAAAGATTAAAATGTTGTATTCTTTTTTGAGGTCATAATAGTTCATGGAATAATCTCTTAAAACAATCATAACATAAAACATTCAAAATATAAATTCTCATATTCATATGTCGAATCGACTTTTGCTTGTTATGTTATATTTTGTTATGTTAATCAATATTAACATAATTAATTGAATCATATTTTAAGAAATGTGTCATTAATTGAGACTCTCAGTATCAGCGCAAAAGTGGTGCAACTCACATTTAATTGTTTTCTACATTATTTCTTTAAATGCTACCTACTACAGTACATAATAATTATATATTTGGATGCTGAAATAAATGAAAATTAATTTGGCTTTATTGAAATCTCATCAACCAATCAATCTTCTTTACGCTTTTCATGAGGTTATATCTCTTTGCGTTGATAGCTTCAATTTATATTCAACAAATATTTTCTAATCATAACGTTATAATATAGGTACACGAGTTATTTAACGCTTAATATTCCGCTTTGTTTCATATTTACTATATACTCAAATTACGTTTAAAATGTGGCCTTATCGAATTCGATAACAAAGGAATGGTGCCCATTTAACGGTCAATAATACGTATTGTTTTTACTATTTTAAGATAACATGCGACGCCTTTTTGCGTTGTAAATTTATATGAAATAGTTCACTTGGACTTGGGATAAAAAAATCTAGGCGGTATTTAAATATAAGAAGGCATCAATTTATTTATAGCAAATACATATTTTATACTATTTCACAGTAAGCTGTGTGAATGGACGATTTTACACGGGTCCAACATTAATTAATAAAATTATTTTAAGAAGAGGAGCGTCGTAACGACCCATTTCAAATAAACATTAGTTCTGCAAAAGATCAAAAGTGCAGATGTTACAATTTTTTTTTTATATTCATTGACATTTTTCTACCTAGTTGCTTGATTCACGAACTCTCCTCCCTTTTTGAACGGTCGTCTGGCGTTATACATGTTCATATGAACTGCCTGTAAAAAAGCTAACAAACCTCTCCGAAAATAGGAAAACGGACGTGGATGCACCATGACGTTGACGCCACCTTAATGTATCTTTTCCAGAGAAGTGGGTTGTGGATTCACAATCCTCTTTTCCGGAGAAGTGGGTTGTGGATTCACAATCCTTTAATCTCTACAACTACCAGAAACCCAACAATGTATTCACAATCTACCCAAAAAAAATTTTGGACCACAGTAAATGGGTCACCCTATATTTATCCGAACAACCTTTAGTAATATGAAGTAATATCTTACGTTGTAGGACGACTTTCTCCGTAATAACGATGCTCTAAATTAAAGCACAGGGCTTTGAAAAGTTTGGCATATTCAATCCATGTCCCTTTTACCATCCAGCGAGGATCAGCAGGCCCTTCTCCGCCAATCATTAAAAATATCGGTCCCGGATCTTCGTAGTCGTAAAAGCTATCGTTCATATAGTATCTCTGTAAGTAAAATTTTTGTGAATATCACTTTCGTAGTAACTGAAAGCGGTTTAGCTGTTTTTTAATGAAATGATAAATTCTTATTTAGTACCCATTCCGTACATAAAAACGAATCCGAGAGAGACCTCCAGATTCCATATCGGCAGTTGTACAAGGCCAAGAGCACGTCAAGCTTGACACTTAAGACTTAAATTCAACTCTATGCCGCTTACAATAAGAACGGTTCAAAGTACAAAGTGTCAAGCTTGATGTGCTCTTGACTGTACCACAAGGCTCTTGGTCCTTTGGGTAGTCTGTATACCAAATTCACGACAGATTTGCCATGAATTCCAACAACTATTGCCATAAGACGCAATCGGTGAATAGCTTGAATGGTGGAGAGTTAAAAGCTTGTCTGCTCGTTTGCCTACTATTTAACATAAAAAAAAAAAAAGCGTATCTCAAAGTCCACAGAGGTAACATTAAAAGGCTGAAAATTCTAGAATTGGACAGCTTTTAGTACAACATCTCACCTAAACATCTTCCCAATACGTAAGGGCTCCATTTACGCGTATCTGCTCAAAATTGCAGGGACTGTTTGCAAAATTAACGAAAACGACTTATTGTTAGCATTTATTTTATTTATTTATAAACTTACTAGAGTTAACATTTACTTAATTGTACAGTTTCACAAAAAGCGATTTTGGTTTGCGTATTTTTTGCCACTCGTCATCTATACATATGCGAGTACTACTAATATACATTACATTCGATATTTGAACAGCCTATACTTCTAATGCAGTAACCTTTACCTATCTGCCTACTGAAGTCTCTTTGTGCTGACAAAATATGACTTGGATATAAGCGAAGCAAGCGACGCTTTCTTGGCATCCATTGATATGCACAATCTACGAACGGAATTATCCTACCGGTCCTCAATCGATCTGGATAAAATTTGAAACGGCATACAAAAACACAATTATATGAACAGGTAGTGGCGAAGCCCAAATTTAAAGTTCTATCTATGAGCTGTGAGATAATTGTCGTCAACGACCGCCATGTTAAGTTTAAAATTGTGCGCGCGCATTTCGTGCAGAAATTTCAAAAAATACAAAAGAGAACGACAGTACGGTACATTGGTAGGGATTCGACATTTCACCTAGTCTAAATAGTACTAAGTTTTACCAAACACCCCTCAAAATTATTATTATACATACTCATTCACAGATTGAATAGGGTGGTTACCCTTTTCATTAGGCTACTTTTTACATTGTTACTGTTCTGCCCCAAATAGCCCTTTGCAACATTATTATTTACTGATAATTTCGATGAGTTAAAAATTCTTTGTAACCGCATTTTAAGCGGCGAAATTAATTAGTATAATTATTCGATTCATACATAGTACAGGTAAATCTTTAACTCCTTTAGATAAAATTTGTAGAAAATTTTTGAAACTGATTTACTAATAACAAGTAAATATGCAGTTTTTAAGCAAATTCTTTTATAGCAGTGGCTAAAAGTTGTGCTGTATTTTTTTTTTTTGGAAATCAGAACCCCTTTACTACTGGCATCAATATCCCAGGCACAAATACATAAAAATATATTACATAGCCATTTATCCATCACCCCACATACACTCTTGGATGCTTTTACTTTCAATTTTAAATTCCAATTCAAATTTATCATTTTCTTCTATTTACTTATCCAAAGCAACATTATCTTGTTGTTTATCCGACTTCACTAAAAACTAGCAAAACATCCTCCAATTTTTAGTTATAATAACTAGACTGGCGACCATTTTGATAACATTATTATAATTAAAATGTTTTTATTTAGTGTTTTATTTAAGTCTCTTTATTTTATTGTTGTTATATAATTTATTTATTATATTAATTTATATTATTTATTTGTAAATTAAACAGTTATCAAATAAACTATTTTTCTTTGTTTCTATTTACTAAATATGGAATTTTATTCTGGAAACATGCAGAGTAAGAATTGGGGCTATCAAGTCCAAATTCCAAATTTTTTATAAGAATTCAATACAGTAGGTATATTTATATCAATAGTAAATTACAGTAGAAATATTTATTTCTTAAAAACAAAAAAGGTTTGCTTTAGAGTAAGGAAACTGTTTTCTTTACGTAAAGATAATATTTAGGATGGTACCATGTACTAAATGATTTATTTAGTTCCAACCACTCCTTTATGTATCCACGCTCCCAGATTCAGTGTGGGATTACTTTGCCAGGTTTTTGGTTTCCCAAATTATAAAACTAGGATATTTTAAAAAGAAGAGTGAAGAGGCATGATGAAGGCAAATGTGTACCATAATCATCCACATCTTAATTTTCTGTTCAGTGAGATGGCGAACAAACATGAACCTATATATCTTATAAAAAATATGTCTGCAAAAGTGTTCTACATTATTAAATCTAAAAACAAATTAAAAATACTATCAAGACAAAGAACAACCACATAGAAAATTCCTTCAATCTGACTGGACTTGAGTCAATGTTTGTTGCAATTCCAGGGCCACTGCTCTCAAACAACTGGGCTACAGAACTGTGAACACTGGTTTGCGTCCAATCAGATAGAAAAACAATTTCTTTGTGTTCGATCTTTATATAAATGATAATAATAACAGTAAGTAATGGAGTATTTTCACAAAAAAATATGTGAAAACCATAATAGTAAAACAATACGATGATATTCATTATTTATACGAATATTACAAATTAAAATGAAAATATTGAAATATAGTACAAAGGAAATAATTTAATTAAAATAATTAAGAGGTAATTTCATGATACTTACTTGATTCCATGTACGTAGATCCGAAGGATTTGAATGATCCAATTTTTGACTAAACCATTTGGGCGCTGGAGTTTCATTATCTTCGAAAGCGCCAGGTGCTCCAAGATTTCCGTTTTCCCTGCGACCCAACCGAAAATGTCGATTCCCATAAACACGATTAACTAATATAAATAATAACAAATACAAAATTAACGGACGCATTCTGCAAATTTTCTTGCAAAATTAATTCAAATTTATGGCTTTTAATTTGATGAAATATGGAACCGCGTGGATCAATATTAATTCACTGGGTAAGTAAAGTAAGGATGAAGCGGCGCGATGGCGACACGGCTCGGGCACCCTCTCTTTACCCCTCACCCTCCTATGCACTCAGATGCAACTCTGCTCTGGCCAACAAACAGCTCGATTGATTTTATCGGACGAGACAACTGCTGGACATGCGCAGTGTGCGCCAATCAGAGCGTCCCTCGCGCGTCGTGTCCGTCGCGTCTGGTGATTGTGGATATTGTGGTATAATATCTATGGGTATAACCTTAGAGGAAGGGTATAACTTAATTCTTTTGTCATTGTATAACTCACAAATTTAATTAGAAAAATATAGTAGGTATAACTTAAATGTAACTTACATATAGGCAGTAGATCGGAAGCTTATAGTTCTATTGGGCTCGTAATAACGTTTTCTTTCATAATAACATGTAGGTAGGTATTAATTTTTCTTTCCACCAATTGACTTAGGAATTTTAAGGGAAAATTCGTAGATAGTATAGTACCAACATTTTTGAAAAAATGTACATACAGTCAAGAGGACGTCAAGCTTGACACTTTGTACGTGCTTTGGATCGTAAGCGGCATAGAGTTGGATTTAATTCTTAAGTGTCGAGCTTGACGTGCTCTAGACCCTGTACCTGCCACTCACTTTATGCGATTTGTTATCTACAAAAATACCTTCTAATTCTGATTATCACAATGATAACTTTTAACGCTATTAATATATTAAAAAATTATATAGGTGCATTTTGATTTCAGCAAAACATGATCATGGTCTTAGGCAGTGTTGGGCAAAATTTAATTGTTCTGGCAATTAACGATTGACAATTGATTAATTGTCAATTGCGAAACAGCAATTAACGATTGATCAATTGTTAGTTGCGAGAACCGCAAAATATCTACAATTAACAATTAATCAATTTTCAATCTTTTCAATGTTTTTGATTAACAATTAACGGAGTGAAGATATTTGTGTTTTCCATCCGTTACTCTCATCTCTGGACTGTATTCGCACTTTCCATCAGGCGCGGTGCAGTCATTTTGCAGTCACAAAAAAAAAAATTAAAACTGACAAATTATGATAAATTTATAGGGCATTATGGGGGTGAGTTAGGGCGTTGGTTGTGGGGGCCTGCTGGGGGCAGGTAAGAGGGCCGGTTGGGGGCAGGTAAGAGGGCCGGTTGGGGGCAGGTTAGAGGGCCGGTTGGGGGCCCGGTTGGAAACCCCGCTTGGGGGCCCCGGTTGGGATCCCCGGTTGGGATCCCCGGTTGGGGGGCCGGTCGGGGGGGGCCGGGTGGGGGCCCCGGTGGGGGCGCCCGGTTGGGGGCTCGGGTTGGGGGCCCCGGTTGGGGGCACCGGCTGGGGGGCCCGGTTGGGGGCCCCGGTTGGGGGCCCGGTTAAACAACTTATAAAAGTTAAACAACTTATATTTTTGAACGCTTTTAAACGCCAATGAACAAAATGTTAATATGATAATGTTATGTCATAAATAAAAACATAACTCGTTTTTAAGATTGGTATACTCTTGCGTTTCGCGTTGCAAGGTTTTTTTTAACATACAAGTCTATGCGCTTAAACGTTTTCTAAACGAATTTGTTAGCTTCAAAGTAAAAAGCGTTTAAGTGAAAAAGCGTTTAAAAAAGCATAACGTTTAAAAAATGAGCAGTTTTTACCATCTCTGGTCTTAGGCGATCACACTGCACCGCGCGCCACGACGGAGCGCGAGACGCGGAATCACGCGTGCGGTGGCGGAGACGCAGATCTGCGTCAACGCGCGGTTTAATCTACGTGGGGGCAGCGGTCTAGTGGCCCCGCGTCGCTTAAAGTACTCGCTTCGCAGTTGGTCGCAGTAGTTATCGTATATGTAGCCGAGATCCTTCTTTGACAAGAATGGTTCAAAATACAGAACTCATTCAGGACGCTGCAGTTATACTGTTTATTTGGTTGTCATTGTAGTACTGCCTGATTTTGCTTGCAACAATTCAAGGGTCCCAATAACCACCACATTCAGCTTCTACTGGAAATTTAACAAAATTCACCACATTTAGCTTCGACTGAAAATTACTTGAACACAAGAGTAATGGAGTAGCCTATATCGTAAATATTAATTAATTTTTATATATATTATTATGTCGAATTCACTTTAAAAAATAATAAATAGTTGGGCAGATACATACATACAAATATTACTACAAATGTGAAAATACGTGTACTATAAGAAATGTACCGAAATATTATAAAACTGTACAAAATAACACTTTTAAATGAGAACTATGATAACACAATACATTTGTTTAATGAAAATATGATGCAAAATCCTGTTTTTACACTTTACTGCTGTATAATTTTTACAAGTTATTATTATATGGTACTGCATGATTGACAACCGCGCTGTCAGTCGAACAAACAAAGACTGTTGCGCGATTGACGCTCTGTATGCGATTTTAACGCCCTATAGGTGCGGACACTTTGTAGCGCGAACCCGACGTCCATTTATTGGTAGCTCAATGTTCACGAACATTGATTTAAATCAATCAATCAATCAATCAGGTCAATGTTCATGAAGTGTACCTATCTATTGAAAATATAAAACACAAAATACGGTATATTCATTTATAAAACACACAACACAACATCCAAGATACCATTGATTACAATAGTGTGGTAATACAGGAGAACTTGAGATGCATTGCGGGATCTAGTGACATGTCATCTCAGGCTCAGGCGATGCTCACGTAACTCTTAGGTGTTTCGTGATACATGCCAAAAGGCTTATTAACCACGTCCTAACAGTCGTCACGTTTCACCAACTTCAAGTTTGGATGACAAAGTCCGAACAAAAAGTTAATAACAAAAAAATCTAAAAAAATATACCTATTTGTTCACGAATGTTGTTGTGCATAATTTTATAAAGATTTTTAAATATGTTTTATGGGACACATGTATGTACCAAAGTGCAGTGTTCTAACTCTGAATTAGGTGTAAACTTAAACTCTGAGACCTATATGCTCTAAGTGTAAACTAAATTCGTTTTTTTATGGATTAGACATCATAAAGAAACATTCCTATCCGGCTCACGGTCAAACTGTCCATATCGACCAGTCGGGCGCAGTACGCATGGCAGTAAGTAACACAAACTTGTTGTTGTATGTTTTTTTAGTAATGGTCATGGATTAATAAATAATATAAACGACATATTTGAGAGAAATGGTGCTCGTTACCTATAAACTCTACTTCAATCTAATTTTCGTAATTTGGTTTCACGTGTTTGGTAATTGTCACGCTTGCCACGTTCATAATTTACTTTTAATTCTAAGCAATTAATTAGATAACTAATCAAAATACTAAGAAGTTAGGCTGTCTAGCCCACAGACCATATCTATGGGCTAGACAGAGCACTTCACAAGTAATATGAACTTTCATAGCGTTTTCTTATTACACAATACGCTAAATAATGTCTACCTTTTTTTTTAAATAATGGAACTAGAATAGTTTGTGCCAACGTCAAAGTAAAAGGTTAGAAAACGGACGGGAGGAAAACCAAAAAGGAAGGGAAACAGCTAATTTGGAAGCTTAGAATAATAACGCATAGAATGATAGTTTCATATCAAACGAACTGTCACAAGTGAGGCAAAAACCAAATTCATGTAGGCGTAAGCAACTTGTAACTACGCTCGTCGGCACGCACACAAATATACAAATAATGATGCCATGGAATAACATTTCCCTCAAAAGTGTGGAAATTGTATCTTGCTTAACTCATCATTAAGTTAAATGTGCCAAGAAAGTAAATCCAAGATGGCGGACACGATTTTTCAAAATATGCTATATGGGTATCCTTTTCGAGGTATTTGGGGATGCTCATTACGCATATGGCACTCATTTCTAAATCCAAGATGGCGGACACGAGTTTTCAAATAAATGCAATATGGGTATCATTTTCGAGGTACTTGGGGGTGCTCATTACGAATATGGCACTCATTTCTAAATCCAAGAAGAATAAGTGCCATATTCGAAACCTAAAGCAATATTGTTATTGTATTGTTGCAATATGTGCTCCAATTCAAATAAAATTAAAATAAATAATTATTCAATAAAGCATGAACGCAGAGCCGTTAAAAGTATTATAAAATAATTAAGTGTCCCAATCACTTACAGGAGTTAACGAAAACATTTAATGTTTATTCAAGGAAATATTAGTACAAGATGCGCAAATAAATCGATATTACAGGCACCACTAAAATTTACGTAATATAATTATTTTGATACAG